TATTAGACCCTTGAGACGCACCATCCTTATGTATATATATCTATCTTGTATTGGTTGAGGATTCACTTTTGCTATATTTGTATTTCATGAATCTGTAATAGCTTCTTTTGTAGTTGTGAAATCCTCAACAGTGTGTGCTTGAATAAAACTTGAATCCTTTCGGATCTTTCTGATATTGACGAATATAAATGGAAACTTTAATCGTCTCTGCCTTATTAAACAGACTATCTTCAACTTTCACATATCCAAATAACTTTTACTTTTAAAAATTCTTTCTAGAGATTTAACTGATACTCTCAATATTGGATTGTGAAACTTGAATAACTGATGTCTGTCAAATTTCCAGGTAAACTCGGATTAATGACTCTCATTTCAAGCCTCCATAACTTACCCAGCTAATTATCTATTAAAAAAATTATTCAAAACTTTATGAACATTGATCTTTATCTGATAATTACCCGGCATTGTGACTCTAATTTCAAGTCGCCATGATAATAATGAAAATACTTGACTTATATATATTGATACTTGCAACTCATGCTCATTAACCTTATAAAATGTACTATGTAAGACTGGTCCTACTTGTACTAATAACTTGTTCATGAAAAGTGCTTAATAAAATTTCTCGGTATCTAATTGTTAAGATACCTTCATTTCTGACTCTAAAGATTGACTGCTTTCTTAAACGTTACTCGTACGGTTCAGATTCAAGCCTCCATGGTATATCCGAACTTATGGTTCTTATTTGAAACTTCCATGATAAACCCGGACTTATGGCTCTTATACACTGAAAAACTGTTACTTCTGATCTTTAACTTATGTACATCGTACATACTCAAAATAAATCAATTTCTAGAGTCAGAATTCAACTTTAATCTGATGTCTTATCTTTAAAATGTTCAGATAACTTTCTTGACTTTCGAACTTTAAAGAAAATAATAGTCACAAAAATAGCAACTATATCTGAATGAATATCTCTTGTGAAACTTTACAGAGTGCCATCTGTATACTTGAATCTTAACTGAAAATAAATACTGAATTCTTGAAAAGCACGATTTCTTGACGAGTTATCAACTCGATAAGTTATAACTCAACTATAATTCTGATTTCGGATATGAGGACAATTCTGATTTCGGATATGAGGACATATATGATATTACTGATCTGAGCATTTATTCTGATTTATAAGGTTCGGATAAATGAATCTTATTGAGCATAGACTTAGTAATTTGCATATATTTAAGAAAATAAACTTTTGCAAAAACTTTAACAGCACTTACCTGGTAGTCGGCGAGGTGTGAGCGTGGTGTGGTCGGTTTTTCTTGAAAAGTTTCTTTTTGAAACTCAAACTTTTAGTATACAGAGCGTTTGAACTTTAGCTCTGATACCAACTGTAACACCCGCCGCTTATCAGAGTCAATTTTTCGCATCTTCTTATTTTGAAAATACTTATAAATTTTTCAAAATCTTCTTAACTTAGCTCGGGATGATACTAAAACTTATCTTCTATAAAATCTGTCTTCTCAAAACTTGGTCTAACAACTGGCTAGATATAATAAAACAGATTTTAATTATCGAACATGTATGAAAACTGAACCTCATAAATCTTTTAACTTTAAAAATACTATCACACATGTTCAATATCTGAAAGACGTAGCGGAAATCTTATAAGAATGGTATAATACAAACCGAAACCTTATTAAAAGTCCAAAATATAACAAATGAACCAAATTCTCGATCCACACCACCATAGTTGATCTCACACCTCTGCACCGACCCTGTTACCTGAAAATGATAATAGTGGGGAGTGAGTACTAATCCACTGTACTCCGTAAAAATCCATACTTAAGTAAACAGTAATTATAATATCAATATCATGATCTTTAGTATATATATGAGCTTAATCTTTCGGTATCTGACCGATAACTTTAACTTTCACTTTGCAACTACCGGTAACTTGGGTCGGTTCTCACATGATCACATTTTGGGGGTTGCCTCCCCCAGAACCCAGTCTTGACTGGGCGAGCTTAATTCTTTGCTTAACTTTAGGATGGCATATTAAGGCCTTGGCCTCCACCCTAAACTTAAAACTTTATACATACCTCAAACATGATCTAGCTATTATACTCAATGTAATACCTAGTCTGTCCCCACCTTTCTTTCTTGAAAACTTTTGAAAACTGTAAGTGCTGTACTGGTAGCTGTATCTGAAACTACATAAAAATATAAACAAATTTACTAAGTACTATGCTCATAGTATTCTCAATTGTACTTTGGGATTCTTAACTTTAACTGATAACTTATCCGAATCTTAAAGATAATTTCCGCTATAGCTCAAATGAACATTAATTCATTGAACATCTTAAATTCTTAAACTTTTACTTAATACCGAACTTAAACCATATGAATCATGATTTTGAAACTTAGATGTTGGTATGAACTCATATACCATTTAAATAACTTGAAAGTGAAAATAACTAAATTCCACATACATAAATTCACGATTTAAACCTCATCTTAAAGTTACTTAGTAATAAAAAATGGTAACTTAAAACTCATCAAAACCATATTATGATATCAATATACTATACTTTAAATAATTCATAGAATTGTCTTCTTAACACATTCAACTAAAACTCAATCAATACTCATATAAATCATGTCTTTAAAATCATTAACTTATTCTCATATAACTTATAAGTGAAAAATAACTCAACATATTCAACTTATACCAATCATCAAATACATGATTTATAAACTATTAAACTTGTCTTAAACTTACTTGGCAATGAAAAGTATAACTTAATTCTCATTTCATCATAACATCAAATCATGATATTAATATGCAAGACTTAAAACAATTTATAAAATTGTATTCTTAACATATTAAACTAAAACTTAATCTCTTTACTCATCACTTAATAATATGAGAATTCCATATCAATTACTCTTGAAACTTTATGAAATTCATCATATACACATTCATTTCTCAATTTAATATCATGAAATCCACTTTGCATGCTAACTTTAAAATCTTTATCTCAATTTATAACATGCCAAATAAATAAATTCTTGTTCATAAATACTCCTCATCTATACAAGAATGACTCATTAATTTACGAATTTACAATAGCTATTACATTCTAACATGTAATAAAGGTGATAAGATCTCATATTAACTTAACATGTAAATTATATTCAACTTAAACTCAATCCAATAATATGCTCAATCTATATCTCAACTTAAAACAACTTAATTCTTATTCTCATGCATATTATTACACATAACTTAAACTCATTGAATTCATAAACTCCATTATAATCTCAACTTTATATTCATCATCATATATGCTAATAACTATTTAACTCATATGAAGTTAAGATAAGTAATTATCTCCTTCTTGAAAACTTGAACTTGAAAACATGCTAGAACTTGAACTTGAAAATTTTGATCCTCCACTTCAAAAGTTCTTCACTTTACTATAATTTCTACTACTAGAGAACTTATATAACTTTGAAATATTGCTTTGGTTTAAAAATTCAGATTTTGAAGCCCTCTATTTATAGGCAAAATTTTGGAATAAAATACTTTGGAGTGAAATAATTATCAAAATAAATAATTCAAAACTTATAAACATTATTCATCTTAAACATATCAATTATTAACTTGTAGAAATCATCCATACTTAATAAAATGCTCAAAATGAACTATAGTTGACACCAAACTCGAATCATAAAAATCTGAAATTTCTGTCGGTCACACGACCCGTGTGACTTCACACGACCAGTGTGACTTGAGTCACACGACCTGTGTGATCTCACATGACCAGTGTGGCTTTGAGTCACACGACTCGTGTGAAAATGCCGAAACTGAACTTGAACAGTGCCTTGAGCAACACGACCTGTGTGGCTTGTCACACGACCCGTGTGACTTTAAAACTTTAAAATCTTAACTTATTTGGCCTCAAAAATAGCTTAATCTTGGAAATAAACTGATACTTATTACTAATTACTGCATGAGATGTTACATGGTAGACATGACGACGAGAAGACGAGTGGCCCGTCTGCATTATGACTTATGATTGCTTCCGTTATTATGTTGAACTTGGCATTTTCAAACAATGATGTTTTCAAATTATTGTTAAACCTAATGTTTAGTTTGAAACTTATAATAAGTTGTTGAACATGATGATATGTTTATGGGTCATTATGATATGACGATTATGATTGCCTTTATTCGGGATTTTTATGATTGATGATGAATCTCGTAAACATGTTATGCAGTGATGTGGACAATGAGTTTTCAAATGCTCAAACACGACTTGAGCTTATGATAATGATGTCTTGATATGACATTGATGATTATAATTGTTATTGTGATGTTGGATAATGATATCCTCTGTGAAAACCGAGTAATGAAACCCCAATAGTTCGAACACGACTTGAACTATTTTATGAAGTGAATGAATAACACCGTTAAATATTTTCAAATCGAAAAATGAATTTCGAAAATTTAATTGTGATTTTTAGAAAAGTCCAGAATTTTCTTTAAAATCAAAGTGAGGCGTTAAATAAAATTTCTTTAGACGCATAAATGACAGTAGGTGAGTTGGTTAGGTTATGTGCAAATTGTGTTTCTATATATGCTCGTGAAGTTATGGTGTCAATGTCATTTTCACTTTTTTTTTTTT